GTGAAGCGTGTGCCTTGTAGGATCCTGTGTGTCCTTCTCCCGGGCATGTTACACCTTCTCTTTAAATATGCTGCAAGGAGATCAGGAAGTGGGGATGGAGAAGCAGCAGCTGTAGTGTTTAATGGGCAATAAGGTTTCATTTGGATTTGATCCTTTGCTGAGGAATGAATGCACGCTATTGATCCAAGTGTGACTCATCTCAATATTCAGTTTTCCAAGAAGTTCAAGATGGTTAAGTGTGCTGTTAGGTAAAGTGACTGGGTGGCTCTGTGGAACTGATAATGGGGTGTTGCACAGTGTTTCAAATGAGTGATGGTCTCAGTCATCCTGCTGAGGGGTCAGTGGGTGTCTGCCGGAATTAAAGACTCATCTCCAGGCAGTACAGAGCTCCAGGTGTATCCTGGGCAGCACAAGCTCCCCAGTCCGTGCCGCTATTGTTCTTGTCCTAAGGATAAATACATGACTTAAGCCTTGGAGGTCATCAGGTTGGTATCTCTTATAAGCATGAACAAATACTTGGTTAAAAATTCACTATGACTTTGTATTTCTTTCCAGAAGTATGCAGGCATTGTTACTGCCGCAGTGGTTGGTGATAACCTGTCAGTTGAGCATGTGCTTGCATGTACTTCAAATATTTGACACATTAGCAGTCGCTGGTTGTGAGCTTTTTTCTTTTGAATGCTGCAAACTTCAGGTTCTTGACAGGCATTCAGCACTGGTACATTTTTGTGGGATTGTAAAAGGTGTGTTGTGTAAACCACACGCCCATGTGACTGAGGAGCTTCGTTATAGTTGCTCTGTCATGAAAAATATTTGTACATTTGAAAATCTCAAGGAGCTTGGGCAATAATGTGCTATGGAAACTTGCATTTCACAGGAAGAAAGTTTCAAGCTGGCGGCATGGTTTTGTGTATGTTGTTTTGTGGGGTTTTTTGGCAAATAATAGATCAATTTTGTTTAAATTTATTTATTTTAATAGCTGGAGACTGCAAATGAAATTAGAGCCCCTGTGCTAAAAGTGTGCAGATATTTTCCTACCTTTTTTCTCTTTAGCCCAGTGTAGAAAGCTCCATGTACTGGATCATCCAGTAGGGCCCTCTCCCTGCGGCGGGTAACGAGGCAGCCTTTCTCCCTGGCCCCGTGACGGACTCTGTCCATTAATTGCTGATGCTGCAGAAGCTGCACTGCAACCCACCTGCTCCCCAAGGCATCCCCCTGATTCAGGGGGCTCTTTCCTAGAGCTCTAACTTGGCACATATGCTGGACTTCTCGTTCATCTGCTGGGAGGCAGATGCTTATATTTACAAAGCCTGTATTTAGTTCAGAGTCTGAAACCCCAACCAAATTTACAACATCTGGTAGAAGAAAAAATGGTGGTCTAGATCCAACAAAACTCTTCATCTCATCTCCCATCCCTCAACAGGATGAGAGGCAGGGGAATGGAAGTGCCTTCACAGCCTTCCTGCGTGGTGTGAAAAGGCATCCTGGGGTGCAACCATCTGCCTTTCAGTTTTGCTTCTCTGCCCAGGTTTCCTTCACATTGTTTCGAAGACCCAAGTTTAAGATGCACCCTCCTAGTTCTCCCTCCCAGGGAAATGGGGCATCACGAGGGGCTGAGGCCCTTGTGCGGGAAAGGGGCAGGGGTCAGCAGCGTGGCTAAAGCGAAGGGGACACAAGCGTGAGGCTAGGGGTGCTGTTCAGATGCCCAGTCAACTGGTGTATCCACCAAATCATTCCTTATCTTTGCTTTTTTGGGTTGAAAGTTTTGGAAAGGTGGGAGCCAAATTCAGGGATTGCCTGGGAGTTAGTTGCTGTTTATCCAAGCTCCTGGAAAAAGATGCATTTTTACACTGATACTGGAGTGGTTTCATTTTCTTACCATTACAAAACTTGCAATGTTACATTGAATGCTGCAGTTATTTAAAAATATTATTTAGTTAAGTAATTTTCAGTTCATTGTCTCTAGGAAGGAGGTAAGAAGAGATCTGTACTGACTGCAGACCTGCTAAGCGGTCAGCCGTGCTCGTGGTTTGCTTCCCATGGCGGGCTTCACCAGGGAAGGGATCCCGATATTATCCAGGGGACTATTTTGATTCTGACACCCCTCAGAGGCTGCAGGTGGTTTTCCATCTCTCTTCTTAGAAAGAGCATCCTGAAGGCCAGTCCAGTTTAGGCTCATATGCCACAGTGGTGAACAGAAACAGGGGGCACCTGAATGCCACTGTAAGTCTGAAACTCAGATTTCAAGCATTTTGGTTTTCTCCAAATGTAAGGCAGCTGAAAAGGTACCATTGCAAAGGTAGCTGAAAAACTAGTTTTTTATAATAGGATTTAAAAAACAAAATTCTAAAAAATAAAAGGCTGACGGAGCAGTTTTGGTGTGAATTTTTAGTTTTTACTTGTGTTATATAGAACGATATATGCCATAAACATGCCATAGCACTTTCTCCTATATGTTCCCTAGTTCATATTTTTGAGCATTCACATTTCAGTTTCTAACAATCTACTGCAATCCATAATTAAGACTATAAAGCACCCAGTAGTGGCTTCTGTGGGTTTTGGCTCAGAAACATAAAATTTAACTCGGAGGAAAATGTCTGAGCTTTCACAAAGAGACTGTTTTCACATAGTGGCAGACAATGAGAGAAGTTTCAGCCTGAACAACAAATACTTCAGGCAGGATCAGGAGTGAGAACGGGAAAGTAATCAAGCAGACGTGCAATACTGAACTGCCTGGAGCTTCTCTGAGCTGAACAGGGCTTGGCTTTACTCAATGCCTTCAAAGCCTTTACTCAGCACCTTCAGAGCCAGCCGATAACGTGTCTAACTGCTCAGGACACTGTGAGTTTGCTCCTGTAAATCTGTGGTTAGAATGAGCAGCTGGTAAATAAACACAGCCTATAGCCTTGGTATGGTGCTAAATGTGAAAAGGGGAAGAGACTCAACAGACTGTTCTGTTTAAAAAGAAACATTTCCTAGTACCTTAAATGCGCCCATTTTAAAACACCCTGGCCAGCGCAGTGGTGGATGGACATGGCCCTGGCAGAGGGATCTCCTCCTGGCACTGCTCCACCAGCTCACCAGGCTCCCCCTGGGAGGGAGCAGCACGGCTGCCAGCAGCCGGGCACGTTCGTCACCCACGCCTCACGCCTTGCCTTGCAGAGCCCCCGCTGAAGTCAGCATTGCACGTGTTGCCAGCCAGGCAAGCTGGGCGTCATGGCCATCCCTCCCACCCCCAACTCCATTTCTGTTTGGTACTAGAGCTGTAGCCTGCCCAGCCCAAGTGTGGTGAGACCCCAACCCCTCCAGCAGCTCAGCAGAGCTCTGGCACTGCAGTTGCAAGCTCTATGGCTTCCTAAAACCCATCAGCACATCCCTTGCCCTAGCTCTTCCTGAGGTGAATGGGCAGCAGGACCAGCTGCTGTCCCTAAGCCAGGCACATCATGCAGTGTCCTTTTGGCCCATAGTCCATTGTGGAGCATCAAACCCATGTAGGAGCCACCAGTGCCCAAACAGCCATGTTGTGTTGGAGACTGGGTGGGCACCGAGGATCAGGCAGGGCCCAGCACTTGTAGAGGACTTTGAGGGTGTTAAGTGTTGAAAGGAGCTTTAGGAAGACTAGGAAGGTCTGGCTATATGGCCTCTGGAAGCTCTGCAGAGGTGAAGAGGAGGTCATAGCTTTGTTTGCCATGCGGGCAGGCGCTCCACGCTAGCTACAGGAGAGATACCTGGCAGCCCTTTCTGTCCCGAGTGCTCCCTGGCTCTGAGGATCCCTCCTCTGAGCAGAAATCAGACCACAGCAGCACTGGTAAAGGAGTTTTTTTACTACTTCTTCTTTTAAATCTCTTCATCTTTTGTGATTGAATTTATTTATTTATTTATTTATTTGCAAACATAAAGCAATTTATAAATATTTTTTTTTGTTTCTCCTGATCAAGGGTTAAATCTAAATATACAAGTGAAAGAACAACTTCCTTATTTGCTCGAGTCAGACGTGTGCTCCCGGCTCGTTTCACAGCGGCGTGTGAGCGCAGGGAGGCAGGGAAGGCGGTGGAACGACACGGCTCTGCCGGATCCTCAGCCCCTGTAGATCGGCGCTGCCGTGCGGCGCTGCCCTGTCCTGCCCCACCACCGAGGATTCCCACTCCCTTTGCGAGACGCCTGGGTCCAAACAACGTGTCTTCAGCTGCAGCCGCCCTTTTGCCGGGCAAGGCCGTTGCTGCTGGGTCGGTGGTGTTGGCAACGAGTCTGAGTTGGGGGTCAGGAGGCCGCTTTGCTGGCTCCCGGGTCAGGTTGCAGGGACTGACCCCATGCACGGCACGAAGGTGTTTTAGGAGAGTTCCCAAAGTGCATCTTCTGCTTTTCTTTCCCCTGGCAGCAATCCCACCTGCCAGCTCCCACCATCAACCAAAGCAAAGGACTCAGGGGACCTTGAGCTGTGCCAAAACGCTGTGGCCATCACCCACAGGGCTGCTGCACGGGAGCAGAGCTGGGATAGGGGACAGGGTGGGATGGGACAGAAGGTTTTCCCCAGTGCCAGAGGCAGGTGCCAGCAGGAGCGCGGTTGTGCCAGGGCGGATCAAAGAGCAAGGTGGGAGGCCACCCGAGACATGGCCAAGGCCCAAGATGTCCCCTGCCAGCAGAAGGCAATATCCAGAGGCGGTGAGGAGAAGGCAGCGATCGTGGGGCAGATGCCTGGCAAGGGATGGCACCAGGTAGAGGAGGGCTGGGAAGGGAGGGTGCAGAGGGTGGGAGGCGTGTTGGATGGATGGCCCTGCCGAGAAGGACCTGGAGAGCCGTCCCCATCGGCGGGAGGAGGGATGTGGGCATGGTGACTAAACTTCTTGTAAAAGGGGGTGGAGAAAGGAAAGGGAGGGACAAGAAGAGGGGAAAAAATAAAAAAAAACTCTGCATGTCAAGTCTGAGGAAATGCTGTGGGAACTACAGCCAGGCTTTTTTTTTTTTCTCTCTTCTTCTTCTTCTTCTTCTTCTTCTTCTTCTTCTTCTTCTTCTTCTTCTCTCTTCTCCCCTCGTGTAGCTGAGAGGAAGGAAGGAAGAAAGAGAAGTAACTAGCTCAAATGTGCCTCGCTCTGCTGCCGGGGCTCGGGGGCTCGGCTGGAAGGATCTAGTTTCTCTTCGGTGGCAGGAAAAGGAGCCACAGGAGGAGGGAGAGACGGACACCCAGACATGCCCGTCCCGTCAGGCTGCTGGCTCCTTCTCCTTTGCCTGGCCAGGTAAGGCTGTGCCGCCAGGGCTGAGCCCGAGGAGGGGGAAGGCGGGTGTCACACCTCACACGGGCAGGTTCGTTTCTTTGTCACTCGGAGGAGGTGGCGAGGTCAGAGCCCGTGTGGCATCTTGCCCTGCCGGCGCTGGCAGAGCAGGGTTTAGCAGAGCGGCTTCGCCTGCCTTCTTTTTCCCTCTGGTTCTTTGGTTTCTGTTTTTGTTTTCCTTTCCCTGCAACTCGCCCTGTCTCACAAGGTTCTCTTGCTTCTTTAAAATCAAAATAGCCCAAACCCAAAGCTCCAAAGGAAGCCAGAAGATCTGCCGAGAAAACAGTCTGCTCCTGCCCAGGGCAGGGTGTGAGAAACCAGAAAATGTTTGCAGTGAGGTTGTTAAGGGATATAATTTGCATGTAGAGTAAAAATAAGGCAGACTCCACCCTACCGAACAGATTTATTCAGGAGAGCATGAGCACACTTGTCCCTCAGACATGGGACGAGCGTGTACGGTCTTCGCAGCCGAGCTACAGTTTCTCAGCCTCCCCGGAGGGATGCAGCCCCCCTCGCGCTCTGACCACCCACCATCCCAAAAGTAGGCGACCCCTGAGCGGCCCTGGGATGTCAGACATTGTTGTGACCCCAGGTCCACGGGTGGAAGACTGAGGCCCACACCGGCTACGTGACTCGCTTGGAGGTTCACGTGCTGCTCGTGACAGAGCCGGGAATCAAACCTCAGTCCCAGGTCAGCTGCCCCAGAAGGACAGCCCCTTCCTCTCAAGGGAGAGATCTGAGCAAGGTTTGGCTCTGCGGCTGTTTGCAAACAGCGTGTGTGTGCTCTTTCTGCAGCTTCATGCAGTGCCAGGTGGCTAATGGTCAGCGTGTTTTACGGTTGGGATCGTTGCTGGTCTTCCCCTCTTCTCAGAAAGACCATTTTCTGCAGCCAGCTCTCGCTGAGCCTTGTGAATGGCACACATCAAGTTTCCTGCAGCAGTTTAAATTTGCATCATCTCACTTTATGTTTTCTAATTATTCACCTTAAAAATGATTCCTCTCCCTTTGGGTCATTTAGACCCTTCTAGACTGGCAGGCTGTTTGCAAATCCCATGCTACAGGCACTTTATTTCCCCCATTAATCAGTGTTTGGCAGCCTCGCTATGATTTGTATTTCTTTCATTTGTACTTCTAGTATTTCTCTGTGTCTCATTATTCCTGATTAGTGGTGTCATTTTAAGTGCTTCCCTCAACATAGTGCTGTAACTAGGCCGTGGCTGGGTTCCCTGAGAGCAAGGTGCAGCTTCAAGAAAAAAAAAAAGAAAAAAAAAGAAAAAACCCTCTGCTGTCTACAGCTTACAATTTAATGTCTGACCGCATAGTCCTGAGAGCCTTTCCCCTGGATGCCTGGTCCTAAATATGTTGCCTAAAACCACACAGGCCTTTTTTCCCCTCTAAAACATATGTTTCATTCTGTCCACCCTGGCTCTTTAGGCTTCTCTTAAATTGCTGCTTTCCAGGTGTCCTCCATATGTATATGAATGAGCCTGCGCACTTCAAAATTGATTTTTACATTATAACATTATATTACATAATATAGGTTGCCCAAGGAAGCTGTGGCTGCCCCCTCCCTGGAAGTGTTCAAGGCCAGGCTGGATGAGGCTTTGAGCAACCTGGTCTAGTGGAAGGTGTCCCTGCTGATGGCAGGGGGGTTGGAACTAGATGATCTTTAAGGTCCCTTCCAATCCAGACCATTTTATGATTCTATGATTCGATGAACTTTCAGGTGGTTTGTCCCGTTCCTCAGTATCCTTGTATCTGTCTTTTTTTTCTGCTCTGGTGTTCGGGACTGTGGTCAATGCAGCATGATGAGAAGACCTCAGTGTTCTTCATACCTTTGCTCCAGGTCACTAACCATGACATATTTGCTTCCTTCTGGAGCCCTTTGGATTTGGAGCAGTTGTTCCCTTTGGAATCTCCTCGTTGCCTGGAACCTGCTCAAACTCTTGTCCAAACCTTGGGAATTCAGGTTTCCATGCTGTAGCTCCCAGCATGTTGCAGGTACCCGGATGCAGGAGCCAGGAGGAGCTCCTCACTATTTCTCACCTCTCAATTCGTAGCCTTTCAGAGGATGCAAAACAGGGAACTTGTCTTTATTTGGGGCTGATGTGTAAAGTCTTTCCACTGCTTTCAACATGTGCTTAATTCTGAGTCTAAGTGGTTGCACAGGGTGCATCTTTCCACAGCCAATGCCTTGGGCGAGTAGCAGTACAAAATAGTAGGAGGCTCCAGGGAAGTTGTAGGGTGAGCTTACATAGGAGAAGCTAAGCTTTGTCTAAGAGCCAGTTAATCTAATATCCTGTCTGCAACCGTCAGCGGGACCTGCAAATCAAGAATGTGAAAGGAAGGCAAGCCTGGAGAGATGCTGCTCCAGGCCAGCCTTTCAGATTCTCCTTTGCTCTTCTGATTGGAACAGTGGTTTCTTGTAAGAGTGCTGTTTTCTGATGAAACAAATTGTGAGAATAAGTGTGGTGGAGCTGAAGTTTGTCTGATGCACTTGTGTTAGTTTAAAGTTGATAATATGGTGGGGTAGTGAGAGGGCAGTGATATTTGCAATGTATTTCCTGCAAAGAATGAGAAACACTTGGAAATGCAAGTTGATGAGTACTCATAGTTCTACTGAGAATAGACATGATCATCGTCATCATTTTCACCAAAGAGGAAATGGGAACAGAGAATTCGTGACTCGCTCTAGGTCACACACCAAGCGTGGAGCAGAACTGCTGGGAGCAGAGCTCAGCCCTCCTTGTCTTGTGCTTCAGCCACAAGATGATCTTTCCAAGTGATTGGTCTTGGGCACCTGTCAAAGGACATGGTATTTTGCTTTGAGGCGTGATCTGCTCAGCTTCTTTGTTCAGGACAGTCACATCCCTTTCCTTGCTTAACACTGGTAAAGAGCATAAATGTTTCTATCAAGTGGGAGTTACAGCCTGTGAGAACGTGCATTTGCAAATATGCCATAAGCCGGTTGCCTGGTTTAACATCAAGGACTCTTTTCCCCTTGTATGGGAACAGGATGGGTTCTTCCACTACTCATAGTACTTACTCTATAGGGAAAGTTTGCTCACTGCGAGCATCTGGAATTTTTTGTAATATATAAAAAAAAAATATGTATTATCTTTTAACTTCCTGAAATACAGTCTTTATGATGAGAGGGGAAAAAAGAGCATAAAAATGTCCATGCTGCATTATGTCATAGGCTGTCCTGGTCCAGTGTTCCTGCTCTGATCAGGACCAAAGGAATTACTCAGTAGGGCAAAACTTCTACAATATCTCATCTAAACTCACAGAATCACAGAATGTTGAGGATTGGAAGGGACCTCGAAAGATCATCTAGTCCAACCCCCCTGCCAGAGCAGGAACCTAAATGAGATCACACAGAAAGGTGTCCAGGCGGGTTTTGAATGTCTCCAGAGAAGGAGACTCCACAACCTCCTAGATTTATTCTGTTGTTAACAGCATGGGTTTCAAAGTTACTGCAATTCAGTTAGTTCACTTGTCAAAATGTCCTTGCAGGAATGGTTCCTGCAAGGGAAACTGGAAAGTTTTTCATTCTTTGCGGTTTCCCCCAGAACATGTGAAAAATCTTACAGCACCTCATATAAAAGGAATATAACGCGTATAAAACTGAACCAATCCACAATTTAAGAAACCTCTGCTGCTTCTCTTTTCATGTTAAATATCACCTCCCTGATGTGAACGGGACCAAAACAAACCTTCACCACATTCCCCAACTCAGTAGAATTCAAAGCTTATCAGCCATCTCGAGGGTGCTGACCGACATCATTTATGGCACAGGGCGTTCTTCAAACTGTGCCAGAAGACAAAAACCCACAGGTCAAGCAGAGGGGTTAACTGTGGCCCACAGGGTCTGTTTCTATTGCCTGTTACTGTCATCCCAAGCATGGAAAAGCGGGATGTAACTTGACCGCTCTGCAAGAACCAGCGCAGATGGTAAAAGGGATGTGTGTGTAACTACAGCGCAGAAAATCACAAAAAACCTCCAAGTGGTGCCCTCTGGCATTTCTACCTTAATGCTACTTAGAGGAATCATATTGGAGTCACTTTGCTGTGTTCATCCATCTGTCCCTTGGAGTTCAAGTGGTGGAAGACGCTGCTGTCCTAGGTACGCGTGTAGATGCAACAAAAAGGTACCCCCTGTGGCAAGGCTGTCCTCCTGCTGCTCCTCCCTGCCAGCTTCCTCTCAGTGTGACCAGGTCTCCAGGAGGCACTTGCAGTGACCAGAGCCAGGAGGGTTCCTGCCACTGCATGCTGTGACTACAGAATCCAGACCTCCTTCCACCCTGTGCTGCCAGGGGCTGCTCTGCAGCGCGAAGGCTGCTGGACACGTGGAGGGGATAGTTGTTTCCAGTGCTGGTTTAGCTTAGTGGAGGTGAGCAGTGGGGAGAAGAGCGAAACAGAGGTGACTGGGTCATCACGTCCGCAGCTGCAAGCGTGCCTCTTGCACAGGCTGCCCTCTTCCTTTCAGTGGAAACTCAACTTGTCAGGCAGCGCTGGCTTCTGCTGCAGCTGCTGGCCCTCTGGTTGAAGTCCGCGCTGGTTGGCATTGCCTGCGTGGAGAAGCAGCTGCTCTGAGAATGGTCCATTGTTACAGATGGAAAGCGCAAAGGCAAATATTTGTGTGTTATAAATGCAATATAAAAATTAAGTGCTGTTTAACCAGGTTGCACTATGGACTCAGGTAGGCCTCAGTCTATATAACACAATAGCCTGCCTGCAAGAACTTGCCCCTTTTTATGACTAACCCGTCTTTGAAAATGGTCCAAAGTCCATGTAGTAGAAGACAGACTGTTGTTGGACCTCCACGGGATGGAGCAGTGATGGCTTAAAGTCTCAGGGTGGGCTGCAGGAGAGCCCTGCTCTGCAGGCTGCACAGAGGCAGCAGGGTTTGGTGTGACACTTCAGCTCTGGGGAAATGCAAGTTTCCTGATTTTTCTTTGTTT